ACTGTCAGTCCCGTTCACCCGTTACTGGCCATTTTTCGAGACGCAGATCAAAATTGTTTTGTGGTCTTCCAGCGGTGGTATATCCAGCTGGAAATTCCCCTGCGGGAAAACCTGGCTCTTTGAACAAGCGCGTGACATTGGTTCGGCACGAGAACGCCTTGCGCCTGCACTACCGGTGTGGGAGCCAGAAGCGGTCTGCAGCGCCGGGTTATGTAGCCTCCTGCGGATCTAGTAACATATCTACAGTTTCAGTTTTTTACCCTAGTGCGCAAGATTGCAACAGATCAGATGATGGAAAATGGGTTTTGCCAATCAGAAATATCTTACAGCACGCCGAAGGAGGATCTCATTCACGTAATCACACACTGCTATGCGTCTTTCCTTAGAAATGAAGTTCCTGCAAAGTTTTATTCGTACACTGCGTTCATGATCATTATGAAATATTGCGACATTGTTGTATTTTGGTTAATTTTGATGAAAAAGCTCTTTATTTGATAACGGCCGCTCCTTTCTTATGCTATTCCATCTGACTTTGGGTGCGCCCAAGACGATGCATATTTTCGAACCCTGTAACTACCATTAAACCATCAGAAGTCAAAGCAAGTTTTATCATTCCTCTGGATCTCAACTTACATTCGCAGATCTTTCGAACCCTGCCTTCTTCCAATTCGTAACCAAGAGCGAGCTCCTCCGCTTCACATACCAAGACGATCTCCTCTTCTTGTTGGGGTGCTTCTATTGCTGTCAGTACATCGTCCGTGAACATGGACGAACTCACATCATCTGCTGTCACGAGGCATTCGGGTTCGTCGAAGGTAGGACAATGTTGGTAATCAAAGCGGCTTGCTGAATGAAAAGCCTTTCATCAGAGAATATTAGGCTGACGAGAAAGTGCCGCCATATTTTTCGAGATTAGGGTTCCTCAAATGGTATAAGATCAAACACATCTGCCATTGCACTCACGCGTCCTTTCCGACGTTTAGGCACAAGCCGATGCGATCGCTTAAGTTGCATTCATACTTCACGGCAGCGTCCACCAGCGACCACCACCGTCCACCATTAGTCATCAGCGTTCCGAGTCCGTCAACGATTAGGAAAGTGTAGACACCGATCCAGCGAACGGCAGCATCTATCAGCGTCTACCAGCGTCCACCTACGTCCACCAGCGACCATTAGTGTCCTGAGAGACCAGGGAAACACTGATATCATATAGCGTCTAAGCATCCACCAGCGACCGCTAGCGACTAGGAGTACGTGTAGTCGTACAGTGTGGATGCACACGCCGCAAGTTAACGACGCCTCTACCATCTGCTACCCTCCTACTTCCCCATACTCTCTGCTCCTGGTCGCTGGTGGACGCTGATGGGCCCTGATAGACGCTGGAAGACGCTGCCGTTCGCTAGATTGTTATCCATACTTTCGTAGTCTGACGCTGACGGACGCTCGGAACGCTGATGGTTGCGGCGAAGTATGATGCAGTAAGAAGGATGATGCGTTGAAAATATGGCACAACCTTCCCACAATGTGATGGATCTTCGCAGGCTTTCGCTTGATGCAACATGGCATCAGATCATTGAATAACAGTACAGATCTACTCAACATTACCATTTGATTGTGTGCCCGTATGTTCTTCTCCCTGAAGCATTCCGTGTTCTAGCCATTTGGTGCTGTTGCCAGAAGACACGGCGTTATTCATTCTCGGTACACCAGGGATATGTTGGCTGGAAGTAGACGGGAGGAACTGTGCGCTATCGAGATGTTGTTCTTCAGACTCCATTGCTACTCCGCTGCTCCCTCTGCCGAAAGTGTGAAATGGACCTCACCTCTGAAAAGAGGCTTCAGTATGTACATATTCCAATATCAATGATATCACATGCACTGTTGGGATAAATCAGTTTTGAAATAGTGCGGTTGGTTATTTCCATCATTGAGTAATGGCCACTTCACCACAGTGTTGCACCATCTTGTCTCGGCTATACAGTTGACAGCGTTAAGATCAGCAATCGCCGTCTCATTCTCATGACTTCGGGCGCAGGTCGGCTAAGGAAGGAGAAAATGGATAGCCGCCCTGGCTGTTAGGATTTCTGTCTACGTCTATATTGGCTGCTTCCGAACCTATCACTAGCCAAAAGGCAGCCGAGCGGCCTGATCAGTGCTCTTACACCGCCCGCTTGTTTGCTGGGAATTAATGTGGGTAGCTCCGCCCATCACAGGATTGGAATACATTAAGACGGTTAGCAATGGACGCATTTCACCATGAACTGGAAGGCATCTCCCGCGACCGCACAACATAGGTAGCATGGTTTCAAAGCGAGTGCATTGTGCTAGTTGCCCTATAGTTAGTAATGGAGAAAAAAATGTATGAAGAACCGTCCTCAATATGACCTTTCTCCTTGCACTTGCTCATGATCACTGGACGAGAGTAAGATGGTCAAGATCAACAGTGATATGCAGAAGGTGACGGTACACTGCAAAGCGCGGAGAGAGACCAGAAAATGACGGGCGAGAGAGCACAACGGCATTAGTACGACGACACGGGCAAGGTAGGCCGGCATGGGCCTCCTTGGGCCTAAAATCGAAGTTTACTGTGCTTTGCGTGCCATTTTCCAAGTTTTGAATGCAGTGCAACCTCTACAATCGCCTACCGGATCATCTGACACATTTAAGAGGTCACGCCTTAGTTTATTGCGGAAAGTGCCTTTAAAGCACCGAGCCCCGTAATAGTCCCTCTCTCATTGTCACTCGATTTGCTTTCTGCTTCGATTCTTCATGCTGTTGCTCACGCTCGAGCCCCTGAGGTCGTTATGAGTTGTATAGCTTGCGGTAATACACTCCACGGTGTCCTCGATCCCTGTCGTTAATAGGTTTCAATTTTCTTTCAGTAGTGTATAACGTCGCACATCCTTGGCAGAGATGCGTTATTGTACAAGTGTTGGCAGGACTATTAACCCTTTACTGCCAGGTTTCATAACTCAGGTCAGACCTTCGATTTGTTCGACATTGCTCTCCGAGGGTTGTTCAACCTCGCTAATATGAATATCACATTCGCCCCGCCCCAAATCGCTTGACGCTCGCGCCACAGGGGCCGGCGCCAAATTACGCCGAATTACAAAATTAGCTGGAAATTTGTTCTCAGTACTAGTTTTGCCCCTCTTAACAAATATATCTCATCCGCTTGGCATGATATCCCTTAGTGCTCACGCCACAGGAAGCAGAGCCCCTTTTTTTTTCTACTCTGGTGCGTTTGCCG